GCCCAGCAGGCTTCCTGAATGAGGTAACTCTACCCTGGCCCTCCTCCTGGGCACCTAGGGTTACCTTCTGTATGGTGATAGCTGCTTGGCACTGACTGAACTTGTGCCATCCGTCCTCCCGAATCCTCCGATCCTGCTCCTCATCTCTTCGAATCTCTCGCATGAAGGTGGCTCGAAGCCGGCCTTGCCTGGCCCGCTCTGCCTTTTGCACTAGAATTATGGCCTCAGTCCGGTGCATTCCTGTAAAGCTCTGGCCAGAGCAGGGGCAAAAGAGCAGGAGCACATGAAGGAGAGTTTACATCCAGGGTGGACTGCTGGGAGACTGGCCATCAAAGGATACACCAGGGCACCATCCTCCCAGAGTATCTGGGAGCCCAAGTCTTGTCTTGGCATTGGAGGGTTACCATGAGCACAAGAATAGCCTTGAAGGAGGCCAGGGATTACCTAAAGGGCACTCTCGTAGAGGGCAGGGAAGGGCCTCTCTGCATTCTGGAGGCTTTCAGGAGAAGGGGTATGGAAGAGTCCGGGAAGGTGTCACCCTGTTTACCTTCTGGGAGGACTCTGGCTCCAGTCTGGACAGGATCTCGGCCAGTACCAGCCGTCGCTCCCGCACAGCAGTAGACTGCTCCAACAGGAAGTATTTGGGGATTGGAACCTCCAGGTCAGCCTTTGGAGCAATGTTGGGGGAGGAGGGTCAGGAATCAAAAGTCTGAGCCATCTGGCCAATCCATTACCATTTTCAGGGGCTTACACACCCCCAGCACTGTTTTCCTCCATTTTAGAGTCCTGAGGTGGGAAACTTAAATGGGGCAGATGCCCCCAAAAGTCATTCCTCTCTTCTTCTGCCCCCATCCTCTGACTGGAGTTGAATTCTGGAGGATAGTGGTAGGTGGCAGTGGTCTCAAACCTGGTTGTGCATCATAATCAACTGGGAAGCTCTTAAATGCAGATTCCTAGGTCCTCCCCAGACTACTACATCAGAGTGGCAGGGCCTGGGGAATCTTTCCCATGGCCGCCCGCCCCACCAAGCGCACTGCTGCAGTTGGTTGGGGAAACTTTGAGATAGTCTTGGCTATGAAGCAGTTACTGAACCCTGAGCCTGACTGGAGGCCCTGCAGAAGCTCTGTGTTCTAGAACAGCCTTCTGGAACTTGCCCGTGCACACAGATCACTGGAGGGTCTTGATAAAATGCAGGTGCAGATTTAGCGGGTTAAGGATACAGAGTTTCTCATTTGTGATGTCAACGCAGCTGGTCCAGGGACCACACTTTGAGGAGGTTCTAGAGGACTCTCCTCACCAATTCCCTGCGGTTTGTGGGTCTTCCCAGTCATGCAGGGGACCTCATCCTGACTCCATCCAACCCCTAAGTACCTCCATGCACAACCCCCATCGCCAAGCTTCCTGAAGCCCTTCCCACAAGGCCAAACTCCATCCTCTGATCTTCTCTGCCCTCCTTCCTTCCCTAGCAGGTGTCCCAACACCAGGGATATAGGCAGGGGGTGGTCGGCCCCATCCCTACCCCACCCGACTCCAAGCTGGCCGGGGCATGGCTCTGTGTCCCAGGTGGTCAAGGCGGGTCCCACCCCGCCTCTCCCCTACTGCCAGCTGGCTGGGGGCGTGGCTTCGTGGCTGCGCACACGTACCGGGGTGAGCTTGAGATCCTGCAGCACGCGGTCCAGGCAGGGGTTTTCACAGAGGTCGGCGCGCACCAGCTCGTCCTTGAGCTCCAGCACGCGGCCCGCCACGCCGTCCAGCAGGCGCCGCAGCAGCCGCCGCTTCTGCGGCTGCACCATCTGGTCATAGACGGTGTTGAAGCGGCGCAGCAGCCCCAGGTACTGCAGGTAGAGCGACGTGAGCCTGTACTGGAAGGACTGCCGCTCCCGGTCGGGCACAGGTTCGAGCAGAGGCTGCTCTTGGTCCAGCAGCTCCTGCAGGGTCACGTGGGAGGACTCCCAGAGGCGCTGGTAAGCTCTGGAGAGAGGGTGGCGGGCGCCGCGTGCTCTGAGCCGCGGAGGAGTGGGGAGATGGAGCCTCCTGGCCTTTTGAGGAGTGTGGGCTCGGGGTACCAGAAGGTGTGATACCACTCATGGCTCCGAAATGGACTTCAATGAGGTAAGGAGCCCGCAGGGCAATGAGTAGACACTGACCTGGTCTTAGGGAGAGTGTGGGATTGGGCTCCGCTGTAGGATTAGCAGAGAGAATGGGCATGACCTTTGGGGGGTTGGGGGAAAGCCGGCCCAGGCTTGAGGCTCCGGTAAGGAAGGGGTCTTCGGGAGTCAGGGGCAGTGGGGCCCGCCAGGTGTGGGGCAGCCCACGGATGCTGCAGTGATCTGGGCTGGTGGGTGGGAAATGGGGGTGAGGGATGAATGTGGAGGAGGGTCCCTTCCTCAGAGCAGAACCCTGCTTCTGGAATTAACTGTCAGAGGGAAGTTTCCACCGTGAAAGCTGCCAGGGCAGCAGCAGCAGCTGGAGCGACCCAGCGCCCAAACTGCCACTCTGCCCCAGCCTCTCAGGACCAAGGAGGTGCTCTGACCTTTGTTCTCTCTGCCCTGGGAGCCCCACTCCAGCCCCTCACTCACCCCTCAGACATTGTGCCCACTCCTCCACGCTGCCCCTTGTTTGCTGGTGGTGGAATTCACAGAACCTCTGTGGCTCCCTGACTCCCAGGGCCACAGGGCAGAACAGCCTGGTTTGAAGAGTTCTGACCCATTGTGCCAGTGTTCTAGGGCTGAGGAGAGGGGACTGGTGGCGCAGAATGGGCACATTATCTCGGAGGACATCCTGGAAACAGCACACTGAAGGGACTGTGGGTGGGTGGCTTCAGGCTCCCACAGAGCAAGCTTTGGAAGCTTAGGGCAGAACATGTTGTCCAACTTTGGCCATTTTTCTTATAAGGAACCAGTGAAATAAGTCTCTATTTGAAGTCTCCTAAAAGCTTTGGCACTCTGAATACATCCGTCCTAAAGACATTACCCGCCAACAAGGCATCACCGCAGCTTCTCACTCGGAGCGGCCTGTTCCCTCTGTCCACCCACGCCTCCTGAGCCCCACAGCCCTCCACTCTCTGGATGATGGCACGGAGAGGCCCGTGTGGTGGAGGGGAAAAGCACTGATTTGGAATCAGAAGGCCCTGAAGGCCCAGTTGCCCCCTTGGGTGAAAGTGAGCATAACCATGCTTGCCTCCTTGGGGCCTGCCAAGAGTTCACACCATTCCCATGAGCCAGACCCACGTGAAGGATCATGCTAGAAAGCATAGTGGATGCTGTTCTGCATGCTTGGGGCTCACTTGGTCACCTGTGGGTACTGCCTCCCATCACTGCTACAAGTTCAGGAGACAATTTTTCCAAAAAGACAAAATATTATACCACTAGCAGCCTGAGGCTGTCAGCTGGGGTGAGCTTTTTAGCTCAGTGTCATGTCGAGACTTATGAATAAGTAAATCTACAAGGAACAGGGCCAGGGAAAGGGATAGAAGGGAGACAGCAGCAAAGAGAAGCAAATAGGAGGACTCTTAACTCGAAGGTGCCTACGAGCTACCTGAGGGTCTCATTACAATTCAGATTCCGGGCTGGGCACAGTGGCTCATGCCTGTAATACCGGCACTTTGGGAGGCCAGGGCAGATGGATCTCCTGAGGTTGGGAGTTCAAGACCAGCCTGGTCAACATGGTGAAACCCCATCTCTACTAAAAATGTAAAAATTAGCCAGGCATGGTGGCACATGCCTGTAATCCCAGCTATTCAGGAGGCTGAGGCAGGAGAAAAACTTGAACCTGGGATGGGGAGAGGTTGCAGTGAACGGAGATGGCACCACTGCACTCCAGCCTGGGCAACAGAGTGAAACTGTCTCAAAAATAGATAGATAGATAGATAGATAGATAGATAGATAGATAGATAGATAGAGAGATAGATAGATAAACAGGTTCTGCTCCAGATCTGAGGGGGTACCCAAGAGCTTGCCTTTCTAACAAGCTTCCAGCTGCTTTGGCTCCTGCTGGCCCAGGTCATGCCTGGCAGGGCAAGGTATGAACGCAGGGCAGAGTGGGCAGGAGTGAAACTTCGGGGCCAGATCTCCTGGGCCTGCCCCTTGCTAGCTGTGGATGTAAATGAGGATCATTAGTCCTCAGCTCACAGAGCCTTGAGGTGAGGCTTGAGGTATGAGAAAATACACGTGACCTAGGTAGCTGCCGCTGAACGCCAGCTATCACTATAAGGCGATGCCTTTTCAATACATGGAGATGAAAGCGACCACAAGCTAGGTCTGTCCAATTACAAAGGGAACAAAGAAGGATTGGAGGTTTGTCTAAATCCCACCCCTTCATCCTGTCCAAACTTGGAAGAGGATTTATGGGTCATGTACCCACAAGATAAGCAGAGGCTGCATGAGACAGGAAAAGCAGTGGTTAAGTGGTGAGCAGTAAATCTAGGTAAGGACATAGGAGTGGCCATGGTACTTCTTGCAGTTTTTCTGTGGGTTTCAAATTTTTCCAAATAAAATTGGGAAAGTTAGGAGTTTCAAAAACATCCCCACTGATTTGTACTGAAATAAAGGGGAAACTGAAAAATCATACTGATCTCAGCAGGTTATTTAGAAGCTGGTCTGGGCCTTCAGTTTTTTATCTTGAATAGATCTGTGCGGCCCCTTCAAACAATAGTGTCTGTCGTCTAGGACGCAATGACAGTTGGTGGGAAATGACATGGGGAAGCCACAGCCTGAAAGAGGACCACACAGGAGGAATTTCAGGCCCAGAGAGGGAATCAGCTGGCAGTAAATCCAGATGCCAGTCCAGTCCCAGGTCCTATTTCAGCTCACTACCAAATAGAACATTCACATGTTTACAAAGCTATCACACGTTGCTCACGGGACACACCTAGAAAGCAGTTTCTAAGACATCTGAAGAAGTGCTGCTCCACCTGTGGTAGCCTCGAAGTGAGGACACCCTTGCTTCAGACCACACCCTGGCCTCACACACCCTTCTTTCAAATCACCACAGTGCACAGAAACAGTTCAGCCTTTATTTTTGTCAGACCCTGGGTCACTTGGAGCTGGTGTACTTGGTGACAGCCTTGGTGCCCTCGGACACAGCGTGCTTGGCCAGCTCCCCAGGCAGCAGCAGACGCACGGCTGTCTGGACTTCTCGGGATGTCAGGGTGGTCCGGCCCGAGTACTGGGCCAGCCGGGCAGCCTCACACGCCAGCCGCTCAAACACATCGTTTACAAACGAGTTCATGATGCTCATGGCCTTGGCAGAGATGCCGATGTCAGGGTGCACCTGGAGAGAGGGCAGCACCACTCGCTTAATGGAAGGGGCTGGGGGAGGGGGGGTCCTGCCTACACTGCAAGCCTCACCCCTGAGCTGGGGTTCTAGGAAGCCAGAGGCAGAAGGCAGGGAGGCTCCTCACCAGCCCCTTCCCAGAGGCCAACAGTCATGGAAATAGGGATTTGTGTTTTCTTTGTACTACTATAGTATATCCAAGTTTTTTAAAAGAAGTTTTCAACTGCAAGAGGTAACATGATTAAGTTCCTTGTACGATCATGCACAAGAATCTATATTTAACAAATGGAACCAGTTACACATGCATCTTGCTGGTTTCATTGATGCATTTGCATAATGTTCCATGGTATGGATGTATTATACTTCCTATCACCATTCCTCTCTTCATGAACATTCCGGGTTTGGGTTTGGGTTTGGGGTGTTTTTTGTTGTTTTTGCCATTAGATGGTGCTATGGTAAATGTCCATCTTAGAATCTTGTGTGAGCATAGGGAAGGTTATTTCCAGAGGTGGGACTGTGGGGTCAAAAGGTTTGTGCACGTAACTTGGTGGAGCACATAACCAGTGGACATGTGCATGTGACAGTGGCAGCCCCGAACCAGGAGGGAGGAGTCCTGTTCTGTGGCTGTATTGTGAATTGCTACGACCTCAAATATGGCCCTTTTCTCTGGGCCTCAGTTTCCTCTTCTGTCACACAAGCTTTTGAACTAAGTGATCTCTAGTAAAGCAATGGGACCTGACAGCAGTCCTGAAATGTGAGTAGGTAGACCTGGTCAGATGTGAAGTGGGAGAGAAGTGACTGTCCCACAACCTACATGGAGTCAGAGATGGAGACAGCACTAGAACCAACAGGCTCTGTCCCACCCACCCTCCCTGCTACCTCTGATCTCGACTGCCAACAGCAAATCTGCGCCTGGCACAAGGCTGGTTCTGCCCAAACCCCCTCTGCTGTCAGCACACCCCATTCTCCTTAGGGCTCTCACCCACATCGGGAGGTCGAGGGGTTATCCCTCAGCAGCACTCTCCTCTGCCGGTCCAGGCCTGGTCTCACCCATCAGTTGCAATTTGTGCCCCTCACAGTCAGACTAAGACACAGGACTCAGTGATACCCACTCCTACCCTACTTTCTTCAGGGCACCGGAGCCTGTCCTCTGGTGCATCTCTTCAGCCAACCCATATCAGTGCTGGACCCACTCACCCCCAACCCTACAAGAGCATTCCCAGGCACCCAGGTTGTCAATTCACTAGAACTGCTAATGGGATTTGGACTGGAGACAGGCATTACCTCTGGGGCCTGCCCTAACAGAGGGGTAAGTTTCAAGCAGGTTGGAGACCCAGGGTGGGCAACACATGGCTACCCCCGCTTCCTCCTGGCCTTGGCCCTGCTGAGCAGTGGCTTTGGATCCTCCAGACAAACTGATTGTCAGTGTTCCAAGTGGCTTTTCATGCATGAATATAGGGCACCTGCAGCCCCAGTGTGTTGGGGAGAGGGACACACAGGAAGGATGCTAGAGGCTTGCCCAAAGCCAGGGGAGCTGGGACACTGCCACTGTCAGGCCACATGATGCAGGAATGCCACGGAGCCTTTAGGGGCCTCAAGCTCTTCTGTCTGTAACGTGGACAAACCCTAAGCCCCTCAAAGAACTGAGTGCCACTTGTCCAGAAGCCCTTCCCCAAGACTCCAGTTCACCCTGAACACTCCTCTCCTCAGTCACCACCAACACACTTCGTATCATCATGTGTTTGGCACCCGATCACCTTCAGCCTGGCACAGAAAGTGTGGTCCTCTTGTCTTTTAATTATGTCCCACCTGGGCCGGGTGCGGTGGCTCACGCCTGTAATTCCAACACTTTGGGAGGCCAAGGCAGGTGGATCACAAGGTCAGGAGGTCAAGACCATCCTGGCTAACACGACGAAACCCCGTCTCTACTAAAAATACAAAAAATTAGCCAGGCGTGGTGACGGGCGCCCATAGTCCCAGCTACTCGGGAGGCTGAGGCAGGAGAATGGCATGAACCCGGGAGGTGGAGGTTGCAGTGAGCTGAGATCGTGCCACTGCACTCCAGCCTGGGCAACACAGTGAGACTCCGTCTCAAAAAAAAAAAAAAAAAAAATTATGTCCCACCTAATCATATTATCTCATCATCATTCCCGTAAACTTCTGGAGCGTGTCGGGGAGCACACTGTCTCCTATCACCGGTGCCGAAGATCCTGAGAGGTAGAGACCTTGGAAATCAGGTCCCGCCACCTCAAGAGGGGCCCAGCCTGCCTGAGCCACTTGCCCCAATGCCAACACTAACCTCAGGGTCCCCGCTTCCAGCCAGTTCCCTTTCAAGGCGCTTTGCAAGGGCATCCCACACACACATCCTTGCTCTGCACTCACCTGCTTCAGCACCTTGTAGATATACATGGAGTAGGATTCCTTGCGCCGACAGCGCTTTTTGGACTTTTTGTTCCCAGAACTGCGACCCCCACGGCCCCCGGGCTGCTGCCGCTGTCCATACTCAGCGCTCATCCTCCTGCTCCTCGAATAGCCCCCGCCCACCCCCTCGGAGCTACTTTTTATCAAGTCAGCTGCCCCACCAGGTGTGGCTGGGGACATGCACCTGGGAGAGTGGGGGTGAGAGGTAAGGGGCGTGACTCAATCGCAATCCAGAACATGCTCTGGGCTAACCTTGAAAAGAGACTAATTGTTCCTTCCTCTCCGGAAAGTAATCCCTCCGAATTAAGAAACGCTTCACCAGGTCCCCTCCCCCACCCAACCATCTCCCAGTGTATTTACACACTTGTTAAAAGTTCAGGCCAACTCCAGCCCACCAGCCTGTAATCACGGAGCACACAGGTGCCAGCACAGCTCAGAGTGCTGGGGACTCCAGAAGGAATGCAGGTTCCCTCCCCCACTGGGCCCCAGTGGAGCTGAAGAGACAAGACTGGTTCACATCAAACCACCAGAGAAGGGTGAAGGGGCTAAAAGTGGTGGTACCCATGGTGAGGAGGGCTTGAGTAGCTACAGGCCGCTTATTGGCACAAATGGGATGTGCCTTTGTAGGCATTGTAGGATGTATCTTTGTAGGATGTATTCTTTAATTGGGAAGAATGAGAGAAAGAAATGGTGTGAAAGGTAGAGTGGAATCAGTGTGAGCAGAGTGTAACGAGGCTTGGACTGAAGGCAGAAGATGAGCAAAATGCCTGAGCCTGGACTAGATGCAGAGAGCAGAAGCCCCCCAGGTGGTGAGGAGGCTGACAGGGAGGAAGACCACTAGAGGCCGCGAGAAGCAGAAAAACAATAGGTGCTCACCAGAAAAGCAGACATGGGGGTCTTAGGAGTTAGCAGTAAAGGCCATTGCAAAATGGAGAAAGTCAATTGTCTCACTTAGCACCTATGGGGGAACAAATATTTCAGGCCCTTGAATGCTATGATTAAAGAAACCTGGAGCAATATGAAACATTTTGGGGCATGGGCAGAAAGAGGATGTTTCAAATCAAGAGGCGGGGGAAGGGTTCCAAACACCAGCATCACCTGCTGGCTGTTAATGCGAGCAACCCCTCAATCAACTTACCTCTCCACCCCGCTCTGAATGGCAGGTCACATCCTACGTGCTAAGGCTTAAGAGAACTAACAGGGCATTTCTCAATCCAAAACAAGGCACTGCTAATTTTAGAAATATGTATTTTGTGGACTTTTAAAGCATTCTTTAAATTACCAAGGTTGACATTTTTCTCGACAAGTAAGCTGACTAGACCATTTCCATTCCTCTAGGTTCCGAAGACCTCCTGTCCTAGCATGGAGACCAGAGATCCCGAGACTACCTAGATTCTTAGCAATATCCAGCACTTCCTTGGCTGAAGTAGCAGGGACTCTGTCCCTCCCTGTTCCCATTATCCCAGCAGCCCACTCTCCAGATGCCATTCTCCCCTGAACCAAGGCTCTGGACACTCAGGACAGACTAACTTGGGCCATTTTGCTCCAGGTCCCACTTAAGGCATAAAGCAGTCAGGCCAGTACTCTCTGGGGTCAGTGGGTAGAGGACTCCCGTCTGTCTCTGCTGCAGTGTCTCATGGGAGGCTCTTGTCCCTGTTGCCCAGGGCAGTTCCTGGACTTCGTGGCCATCTGAGAAGACCCTACTCATTTTCCAAGTGAGAGCACACTAATTCCACCTCTCTGGGCAGCTACTCACAAGAAATTTCCCTCCTTTTTGAATACTTCTGTCTCCTATCTAAATCACAATTTAGCATCTAATTTGTGTCCTGTATGGTTCTGTCTTACTGACTTTCCAACAAGATCATGAGCTCCTAAGGGGTTTAAACACCATCTGGGACAGTTGCTCCCGCCAGTCCTGGCATAATGAGTACTGAAAAACCATGGCTGTGTCTTCCCATAGGGATGGCTACTGATTTCAGAGGCAGAGTGATGAATCCATAACAGGAAGGATGGCCACTGGTGAGGTGCTATTGAAGTTCAAAAGACCCAGATAAGGTATGCAGAGCCCTGGGCTGGAAGTGAATTCAATAGTGATGATGAAAACTATGGCTGTGGACAAGTAAAAATACAAACTTTCCTGTATCCCAATAGGAAGAAAGGTTCACAGATGTTGGTGTGAAAATGCAAACTCCTGGCCATCTCTGCACTTCTCTCATTCTACCAAACGTGATTAATCAATAGGTCTGATGCTCAGCAACCTTTATTTTTTGAGACAGTGTCTCGGTCTGTCCTCAGGCTGGAGTGTAGTGGCACGTTCTCTGCTCACTGCAGCCTCAACCTCCTGGGCTCAAGTGAGCCTCCTCTTTCCAGAGCAGCTGGGACCACAGGCACATGGTACCATGCCCGGTTCGTTTTATTATTATTGTAGAGATGTGGGTCTCCCTACTTTGCCCAGGCTGGTCTTGAACTTCTGGGCTCAACTGATCCTCCTACATCGGCCTCCCAAGGTGATAAGCTTACAGTCGGAATACAGGTGTGAGCCACTGTGCCTGGCCAGTCTGCATTTTTTTGAGACAGGGTTTTGCTCTGTCACCCAGGCTGGAATGCAGTGGTGCAATCTCAGCTCACTGCAACCTCCGCCTCCCGGGCTCAAACAATCCATCCACCCCAGCCACTTGAGCAGGTGGGATTCCAGGCGTGTAAAGATGGGTTTCGTCATATTTCCCAGACTGGTCCTGAACTCCTGAGCTCAAGTGATCCACCTGCCTCAGCCTCCCGAAGCGCTGGAATTACAGGTGTGAGCCACCGCACCTGGCCTGCATTTTTAACAAGCAGCCCAACTTCTATGCAGTTGGGGCAGAACCTCAGATCACAATCGGAAAACCACGCTCCTGGACAGTGGTTCTCCAAATACAGCCCCTGGACCAGCAACAACAGCATCACCTGGAAACTTGTTAGAAATGTTCACGTTCTTGGTCTCCCCCAAAACCTACTGAACCAGAAACCCTGAGGCGAGATCTGGCAATCTGATCTCATGAGTGCTCCAGGTGATTCTGATTCACGTTCAAGTCTGTGAATCACAGGCCTGAGAAAAGGTGCAATTTCAAATCCGCAGTAAAGGGAGAACGTTCTTCGAGCTCCTACGGACTAGTCTTCGGTTCCCATCCACACACTGACGCTGGATCCAGCTCCTGCTGAGGGCAGTGCATGTTGGCACTGCAGGGAGGAGAAGGCCCCAGAGACCCGAGAAGGAAGGTAGGGCCCGTGGCTTCCTCTTTCTTTATTGGGCGCTTTGTAGATGTCACGCAGGTCTAAAAGTTACACTGTTAAATAATTATTTAAAAACTGACCAGGACGAAGGTCCTGGTCCAGAGCTCCAAACCAGAAGCAAAAAGGAATCGGGGCGGTGGGCTGGGGGTACTCCTCCAACATCACCAAAACCCAGAAAACGAGGATCCTAAGCTCCTCCGCGGGCCAAATCCAGGGCTTGGGCCCTTGGGCTAACCCGCTGGTGCCTCTGACTGCATCACACTCAGAGTAAGTAACCAGCAAGGGGCTGGAGGGAACAGCCAGCCGAGTCCAGACATGGACAGACGTAACTGGAAGGAGGACAGGAAACAGACAGGTACTGTCCAGCTGTAGATAAGAGAGTGCAGCTAAGGCAGGTTGAGGGGCAGGGGAGAGGCTGGGGGAGCAGTATTGCAGCAATGCAGGAGTGTAGCCCCAGGGTCCTGTCCTGAGCGGCTGGTCAGGGTAGCAGCTGTTAGTTCCCAGATGGAGCTCCTGACCCGAGCCCAGGTAGAGGGCTCACACGTTGTGGGTCCTCTTGGTGAGCTGGGGCTCCTCATCCACCAGCTTGGACTTGAGGTGCTCCTTGTAAGCCAGGATGTCTCCAGGCCACTTGGTGATTGTCTGCTTCTCACAGACCCAAATTTCCTGTGCAACCTAGAGAGCAAAAACTAGACTTAATCCTGGGCTAGTCACTGTCCCCGCCTCTGCCCAGCAGACTATCCTGAGGGGCATCTAGGAAGAAAACTCCACCCTCCAAACCCATATCCAACTCACTGTCTCACTACTTCTAAGTTATTTGGGATGTTCTCACCCAAGGGTACCATAATCAGGTTTGGAGCCTTCCAAGCCAGGAAGTGCTGTGTCACTCCTATTGTCAGCTCCCTGGCAGGGCCTAGATCTATTCAGAGGCTTCACTCTCAGCCTTCTTTTCTCCACCTCCCATCTTCTCCAGAGCTTCAGAGGAATGAGCAACAACTTCTTCTCCAATGACTGAGGTAGTTCTCTGTCTAATCAAAATCCTTCTTAGAATACTATTTTTGGACTAAAGAATCTTGGGACAGTAGTAAAAGCACCCAGTTTTCTACCCAACTCTCTTTCCCATTTGGGCCCAAAATGCTAAGTTGGTTGACATCTCCAGATAGCTACTGAAGAAATGAAGTGTTTCAGTTAAGGCATTCTAAGTAGCCCCAAAGAGGCATAAGAACCGGTCCTCACTACTTGTGTCTATGCTCTGAGCCCCTTCTCTTAATTAAGTAGGCGGGTATTATGCACCCTCCACATGCCATGACTACCCTACCCAACCCTCTAGAAGCTCTCTGCTGTGCCTCACCCACTGGCCAGGGCCTCACCTGCTGAATGAGTCTGAAGTCATGGCTGACCAGCATCATACCACCCTCAAACTCATTGATGGCATCTGCCAGGGCGTCGATGGTCTCGATATCCAGGTGATTGGTGGGTTCGTCCAGGAAGAGCATGTGGGGGTTCTGCCAGGCCAGCCAGGCCAGACACACTCGGCACTTCTGCCCATCTGACAAGTTCCGGATTGGGCTCACCTGAATAGAACCATGACCTACATATAACTTGGCATTATCCCACCAACCAGCACAGCTCATCTCTCCCTCATTTCTCCCTGACTCCTCCATTAGCATCGCCATTTTACAAAAAGTGAGGCTCAGAGAGACCCACTAGTCTCTTGAGGCCTGAAAGAGACTCGTCCGGAAACCTGAAGCCCTTGCCATTACTAAGCTGGTATCTCTTGCTCTCTTGACAATTAAATCTTAATGAACTGGATCCTTCCAGATCTGAATCCAGAAATTTGTTTTCTAGACTGCAAGTTCCTTTGCCCTCAAGCACTATGGCACAAGGGCATGTCAGAGACTGGCACGCTATCCTTGCTCCCTTAAAATGCTCCATTACATAACAACTTAGAGTAAAGAAAAGGTAGTAGGTTCTTAGGGGAATCAAATGGCGGAGACTCTGGTTTGGACAGCTTCGAAACCTAGCCTGCCAGGACAGTGTCCCTTGACCCACCCAGTCACAGTCTCCCAGCTATTTGGCATCCTCACCACACCCTCCTTTACTGACCTGTTGTTTCCCAGTAAGACCGTATCGCCCAATGATCTTCCTCATTTCTTCCTTCTCCTTGATCTCCGGGTAGCACTTCATCATGTACTCCAAAGGCGAGAGATCTAAGTCCAGCTGCTCTTGTAAATGCTACAGGAAAAATGGAAGCCACCTGGGTGTGACTGGCATCCCGCTTCAAAAAGAACCCTACTAGGTAACTTCCTATTTCTATCTCAGGCACCTGTTCTGGGTTCAAGAAGCAGGTAGGAGCCACCTAGGCTGGAATTCCTGCCAGGGGGTGGGGGCGGCTGGCTGGAACTCGGCCAGATACAGCCCTTTCCTACACCCTGGGCAATTCCCCGGATCCCAACCCCAGGCCTGTACCTGATGGTAACGCCCTATCTTGACATGAGAGTGTTTTCGGATCATGCCATCTGTGGGTAGTAACTAGGAAGAAAAAAGTAGAAACGTTAAACATGAAACAAAGGAAGCCCAGTTAGAGACATAGGCAGAGCAGGCAAACACACACATGTTCACAATGAACAAGACTCAACTTCCTAAAAAGAATACATCACCAACTCACACACTGCTATTCTGGCCACTCTAAAAATATTTAGGAAGATGTACTGAAGCAGATGTTCTCAAGAGGCAAAGATACAATTTAAGTAGTTATGAAACGTCTACTGCAGAATGCACTATGCTGTATAACAAAGGACTTGGATGTAGGTGTAACATACATTTTCTAAAATTAAAAACAGTTAAGTCCTCAAAGTTGTCACTGTCATCGATAGGTTCTTAGACACAGACCTATTTTAAAGTTTCATTTTAAGTGAAACAACATATAACAAAACTAATTTTGCCACAGGCTAACTGATATAAAGAAAAATTAGGTTCCTGCAGCATTTTTGGTCACAAAAAAAGATCACCAAACTTCTAAATAAAGATCCAAAGATTCTTTTTTTTAAGAGGGAGTCTCACTCTGTCACCCAGGCTGGAGTGCAGTGGCGCGATCTCAGCTCATCGCAACCTCTCTGTCCCAGGCTCAAGAGATTCTGGAGTAACTGGGATTACAGACACCTGCCACCATGCCTGGCTAATTTTTTTGCATTTTTAGTAAAGACGGGGTTTCACCATGTTGGCCAGGCTGGTCTCAAACTCCTGATCTCAAGTGATCTGCCTGCCTCGGCCTCCCAAAGCACTGGGATTATAGGTGTGAGCCACGGCGCCTGGCCAAAAGACCCAGTCACTTCTAATATTCAACATTAAAATACATGTGAGCTATACATACACTTAAGAAAGATTAATAGAAATGAGGTAAGTTATTTACCCAATTTTTGGTGAATCAGTGAGTGATGACAATTGTAAGAGTGGTGGGTTAAACCAAGGAATAAATGTTTGCAAAGGGAAAATCGTAAGGAGCACCTCCTATCACCACACAGTTCAAAAATAATCACGAATGTGGCTGGTTTGCTGAGTGCATTTGTATGATTATCATAAACTTTATGAATTTTTCTTTTACAGTAATTTATACTCATTCATGCTATCATTTTCCAACCTGCTTATTCAAGTTTAGGATCATGGGCAGCCGGAGCCCATCCCACAATCCGGGGAACAAGGCAAGAACCAGCCCTGAAGAGGACGCCATTCCATTATAGGGTGCACTCACACACACCCACGCTCATTCAGACTGGAACCACTGAGACATGCCAAGTAACCTGACAGGCGCAGCTTTGGGATGCGGGAAGAAACTGAAGTACAGGGGAAAACCCATGTAGACGTTAAGGGGAAAGTGCAAACTCCACAAAGACAGTGGTCCCAGCTGGGAATCATTTCTATTTTTCATCAATATTAATGAAATGACATTACTTGAGAGCATCCCTAAACGCACAGATGTTCCTATATTCTAAATGCTCTGATTGAAAATAGAAACATGGGCCAGGCATGGTGGCTCACGCCTGAAATCCTAGCACTTTGGGAGGCCAAGGCAGGCAGATCATGAGGTCAGGAGTTCAAGACCAGCCTGACGAAGATAGTGAAACCTCATCTCTACTAAAATACAAAAAAATTAGCTGTGGTGCATGCCTGTAATCTCAGCTACTTGGGAGGCTGAGGCAGGAGAACTGCTTGAACCCGGGGGATGGGGGTTGCAGTGAGCTCAGATCGCACCATTGCACTCTAGCCTGGGCAAGAGTGAGACTCCGTTTCAAAAAAAAAAAAAAATAGAAATGTGCTCAAATACATACATGTATTCACACACACACTATAAAAGACTCCCCCCTACATCCCTGTCCCAGGAAAACAGCCCCCAGCCTCAGCACTGTCCAACCAGACATTCCCCTTCTCCTGTCTGCTGCCCCGCCCCTCCAGATGGCTCACTCACCACCAGGCTACTCAGGCCCTCCCAAAGTAGTAGCCGCTGCATCACTTCCCTCTTCCTTAGCCATCGCAAGGCCTAATCTTAGAAGGATCCACGCCCACCTTGGCACTGTACCTCTCCAGTTAGCAGCTTCAGAAGAGTTGACTTCCCTGCTCCATTGGGCCCTACCAGAGCCACTCGTGTGTCAAGGTCAATTCCAAATTCTAGATTATTGTAGATGCAAGGCTGAGGTGGGGATGAGAGAGATATGGACACAAGGCTAGAGTACGAATCTGCTCTGACCAGCAGACCAAGCCCGCTGACTCCCCAGTCGCCAAGAGAGGAGGAAGGAAGAGTAGTGGGAGGAAGCACTCATAGTAGACCCCGCATCCCCCACTGCCTCTGCCCACCAACCCAGCTGAGTAGTCTTCTTTCCATATACACGAAGAAGGGCCTGTGAGCAGCCTTGGATGAAGGCATCCCAGCTGCCACACCTGAAAATCCCCCAGAGCGCGTGGGCTAGCAGGTGTGGTCAGCACAGGACAGGAGCGGCTCCCATGAGCTGCCACTCACCCTATAAGATACACCCCAGCCACCCATGCCCTGCCCTGAACTTACCCCATCTTTTGTATACTTGAAGCTCACATTTTGCACCATAATGACAGGTGGAGGGATCTTGCCACATGGTGGGAAATAAAATGACAGTGTCTAGGCAGAAAAGAGGGCATGTATCAAGTTGGCTCCCTTCTTATCCATCTCACCTTAGGCCACCCAACCCCACCCAATCACACCCTACCTTATCGCTCACGACCCTCTCTGTCAGTCCTGATGCCATCATTTTCTGTAGCGTTTTCTCCTTGCTCTGGGCCTGCCGGGCCAGCTTGGCACTGCCATGACCAAACCTCGCAATGTAGTTCTAAAAGAGACCAAAGGGAGCTTGGAGTACATGCAGGCGCTCAACAATTCATCTTCAATCCAGGGCAAAAATGGTGATCGTAACTCCTTCCCAACCTCCTCCATCACCCCAATTTGTCCCAATGCCCTCATCCAAGCCCCCTGCTTGTTTTGGACAGGAAGCCACGAGCCTGACTCTGCAGCCTCCCTACCTTCATGTGTGCAATCTGATCTTGCTCCCAGTGAAACCTCTTCATCTGGTTCTCCTCCAGCTCTAGCCGCGTCTTCACATACTGATCATAATTACCCTGCATGGAAATGTGCCAGGTAAGGCGGGCAGCTTTAACCTGGGTTTCAATCCTGGATTCTCATTCAGAGTTTAGGGGGATGAGGGATGGCACTGACTTGGCCCTGGCTCTAAGAATGTGCAGTAAGAACAGAGGAAGTGCATTACAGAAGCATATCCTAACCTCAAATCAGAGTCTTTTCAATTCTATGCCCCTTGCTCAGCGCAGCCAGGGTCAGGCTCCAGCGCAAATCCTTAGGTTAGCCAGAAAGACACCTGTGGCAATGGGAGTAGCCCTGAAAATCACGGTCATAGAGACGTCATGAGACTGACAGCCTTCCAATACCACCTCCCATTCCTCTCCCAGCCCCTAGAGGCTGAAGCCCCACAAAAGACTACAAGAGCTGTCTCCAGATAGGAAAACAGACCAGTCAGATTTAGAAGCTGACAAACCCTGCATAAGTGGACTACCATGGCTTCTATCTGCAAACAAAAACTGGACTCAAGCTAAATATCCATCAGAAAGGGCCTAACACGTTACAGGATAAACACATAACGAAATACTGTGCAGTCACTGAAGATTGTGGTTGATTTATATATACTCACATGGAAAGCAGTCCAAAATATACTAAATTTAAAAAGCAACCTACAGAATGATTATTAAAATTGTAACTGTGGCCAGTTGCAGTGGCTCACGCCTGTAATCCCAACACTTTGGGAGGCTGAGGTGGGTGGATCACTTGAGGCCAGGAGTTTGGGAGCAGCCTGGTCAACATGGCAAAACCCTGCCTCTACTAAAAATATAAAAATTAGCCAGGTATGGTGGCATGTGCCTGTGGTCCCAGCTACCTGCGAGGCTGAGGTGGGAGGATTACTTGAACCTGAGAGGCAGAGGTTGCAGTGAGCCAATATCACGCCACTGGACTCCAGCCTGGGAGACAAAGACAGACCCCATCTCAGGAAAAAAGAGGCCAGGTGCGGTGGCTCACGCCTCTAATCCCAGCACTTTGGGAGGCTGAGGCAGGCGGATCATGAGGTCAAGAGAGCAAGACCATCCTGGCCAATATGGTGAAACCCCGTCTCTACTAAAAATACAAAAATTAGCTGGGCATGGGGGCGCGCACCTGTAGTCCCAGCTACTCAGGAGGCCGAGGCAGGAGAATCCCTTGAACCTAGGAGGCGGAGGTTGCAGTGAGCCCAGATTGCTCCACTGCACTCCAGCCTGGCAACGGAACAAGACTCGGTCTCAAGAAAACCAAAAAAAAAAAATGCTGCAATTGTATAAAAAGATATGTATATATGAAATTTTCTACAAATGCGTGCAAGTATACATGAAGTGTCTGAAAAGCTATATTAAAAACTAATACTCCTA